CCCCCCCCCCCCAAAACACACACACACACTCCCAGCAGAGAAAAGACCAAGTGCAAAGACACAGGGATGAGAAGTGAAGCCTCAGGATACCTGTTTAGGCTTGGTCCTGAGGGTGATGGGAAGTGAAGGGTTTTCAGCCAAGGCATATATTTTAGAAAGTTCCATTGGCTGAAAACTAAAGAACAGATTGGAGGGGGGGATAGTCTAAGGCAGAGAGATAAATTTGGTTGTTGTTGCAGAAATTGAGTGATGACGACAGTGTCAACTAGGGAAGAGGCAGTTGGGGAGGAGGAAGGGGGATTCAAGGAGTTAAGACTGAGGGCACCAGTGGTTGACCAGGTGGGGTGAAAGGGATGGTGATGAAGGAGGGGGGAGAACGTTCCAGACTTCTGCATCTAGGTAGTTGGGGTTGCCTGCCTCTCAGTGAAGGGGAAGTGGAAAACCAGATGGTATAATTTCTGGAGAAATAGAAAGAGATACTGTACTTTGTGCTATGCCCAGTTTCACAATTTCCCACTTTCAAATAGGGTATGTCTCCAGATATAATTTCATTTAATCCTTTGTAGGGTGAAGAGGAAGGCGGGAGGCAGAGCATTCAGCACTGGCATGCTCTTTCAAATACTGTGTCTAATGCTTTTTATAGCAAACACTACCACACTATTAAAAGCACCCTGTGCCTTCCTGGCCTGCTTTGCTGCAACTGGGCGGTGGGGGCTAAAGAGAAAGCATATACCACCCAACTTTTTCAAGGCCTCTTTTTCAACATCAAAAGAAATCCTGGGCACCCACATCGTGTGGCTGTACTTTTACTATCTGCCGACTGAGAGAATACATCACAAAAGCCTCTCTGAATTCTGTAGTGCTTCCAAGATTTGATATTTTACTAATCATTTCATTCATTCATGTGAGACATTACTGATTTGCTCTACAGGCAAAAATTGCTACAGGTTTGTTTTCTCAGACTCGCTGGCAGAACCAGTTTCCCTGGGGCCTCTGATATCAGGACCGATCCCAGGCCTAGAATCTGTATCACCTAAAGCTCCCCCTCTCCTCTGCCACTTGAGAAGGATCAGGGTTCTCGGCCTCATCACTGTGACATTTGAGGCTGGATTATTCTTTGCTGTAGGACCATCCAGTGTGCTGTAGGGTTTTTAGCAGCATCCTGGTCTCTGCCTCATTACATGCCTGTAGCACCCTCCCTACCCTCCAGGTTGTAGACACCCAAAAATGTCTCCAGACATGGCCAAATGTCTTCTGGGGGGAGAAGGAGCCAACTGTCCCTGGTTGAGAACCACCGATCTCAAAGAAATCAAAGAATTCTGCTACATCTCTGAGACCAGCACGTGCTTGCCGCTTTCAAATAAAATCAGGACAGTGGACTCTTACCTGTCTTCACCAGGAGCTTACTGGACATTTGACACTCCAGGTTGGATGCCATTTTGCCGGTTGTGACCATGGCAGTCGACGCAGCATCTATATTTTCTGCTGGCAAAGGTGGCAACCGGGTGGCCCTTACTGGGGCAGTAACGGATGTCAAGGCTGCTGTGATTGTCAGTGGGCGTGTGGTGGATGCCTTCGGCATGTCTGGGTTGGTGGGGTTTGGGAGACCTGTGTGCATGGCTTGTGGTTTCCTGGGGAGGTGTGTTGTGGACAACAGGCCAGAGGCGGCGCCCGTGGTCCCTTGCATGGCTGTGTGAGCACTCCCGGTGTGTGCCGTTCTTGAAAACATGTAGGTTGGTGTGAATGAGAAGGCCGGAGGCACTGCCCCCGGTGTCGTCCTTGGGCCAGGTGCTGCGTTGTTTGTGACATTTTTAGCTAGGGCAGTGGTCCAACTGCTCTTGACTAATCCCGAGGCCATGGCCGAAGCCCTGCTGCCAGTGCCCTTGGCAACCAGGGCTGCAGACAGCGCCGGTGGACTTGATTTCCCCAGTAACAACATAGCTGCTGATGCTGCTGTTGGTTCCGCCTTGGACGACACCGAGGGGTCTACTGCAAAGAGAAAAAACAAAGTCTGTCATTGGCCCACAGTACACATGTCACTTGGTGTGGTGATGAATGGATGTAACATATGAGTTTGCTGAGGTGAAAAGTCTCTGCTCTGGGATTTAGGCAAAACAGCTCTAGGTTCATTAAGTCAATTACCCATAATGAGAATGCCACTGACAGAAACCTGTGATTGGTGGGGGGAAGGGTGGTGTGGAAAGAAATTTGTGGTTGGTAATAAGGACATTTAAGTTCTTAATACAGATTTTCCTCACCTTACAATGGGATTATGTCTCAATAAACCCATCATAAGTTGAAAATATCATAAATCAAAAATGCACATAATATACTTAACCTCCCAAACATCCTAGCTTAGCCAGCCCACCTTAACCATGCTCACAACACTTACTTTAGCCTACAGTTGGGGAAAATCATCTAACACAAGCCTATTTTATAATGAAGTGTTGACTCACTTGGGTAATTTATTGAATACCGTGCTAAAAGACAGAATAGTTGTATGGGTGTCGGATGGTTGTAATCGTATCATTGTTGACCATGATCTCGTGGCTCACTGGGAGGTCTGACTCACTGCCCTGCCCACCAACACCAGAGAGGATTGTACCACTTATTGTTAGCCTGGGAAAAGATCCAAATTCAAAATTCAAAGTATGATTTTTACCGAATGCGTTTGCACCATTATAAAGTTGAAAAATGGTAAGTCAAACCATTGTAAGTTGGAGACTGTACTTTCAAAAGAATCAAGTCAGCAGAGGATCAAGGGCACAACTATCTGGGGCTGCTAACTCATTCATCATCCCAATAGTGTGTGTCTGCTCTTTCTAAGCAAAACTGGGTATCTGTGTTGAACTTGAAGATGCTTGTCCACAGAAACAGTCATACCAATTTTGGGAGTACGGGGAAACAAACTACCTGCATGAGTGGCTGCACCTGTCCATTTCTCAGGGTGCTGAGAAGCCAGCAGCACTGTGGATGGGGCCCTGGTTGATAGAGGAGGAGATTCAGCAGTAGAATGGTATCTCAAGATACTCTGGAATGGTGTGGAAACACTTATCACAGGAGATGGGTAGATGTCACCAGAAATTGGGAGAACTGAATCCGTTTTATCTGAAAGTATTTCCTGCAAGCTAGCTGTGGAAGTCAGACTTGGAGAAGCTGGTGAAAGAGCATGTGTTGAATGCGCAGGCAGCTGTAGATGGGGATGAGACACAGCATGTTGGCTTGTGGATGGGTAATCTTCAATCTCAGCTGTTTGAAAATCTCTGGAATAGTTGTTATTGGTTATTGACAAGAAGTCTGTATGGTTTCCAACCATGGTGACCTCTGACTGTTGAATAGGTTGGTTGGTGCTTATACTAAGGACTGGACGCTGAATGTTAGAGCCTTCTGCAGTCACTAAATGCCCAGCAGTTTCTCTGAAATCTGAAGATCTTATTGTACTGGCAGCTGAAGTTGAACCACTGGGAGGAGTAGCTGAAGCTGAATGAGGTTCCCAACTGGTGGAGTTAATTGTGTGCCCATTTAAATAATAATTTGTTTGCTGCAGCAAGCCAGATATCATTGGCTCTGTGGAGAGAGATCCAGTTTCTGCTGAAAGAGAACTCCAGAAAACATCTGTGGTTGCTGGCTTTTTCACATGTCTCGTTGTTGAGAAATCATAGACCTCAGTGGATGAGGGAAATGCTGTCACCTGTTGGGAAGTTGAAACTGGCAACTGAGAATGGTCCATCACAGCTGCATAAGTCTCTGGCTTGATGTCAGACAAGCTAGGGGATGGGGACATAGTCTGGGTGCTTTGTGCAGAGGGGATGGAAGGTAGAGGTAATTCTGAAGGAAGGAGGTTTGTTCTTAGAGTTGTGATGAAAAAAGATGAAATATGATCCAGGCTAGAATCAGAGGTGAACCCATTTACAGTGTGATGACCTGGAATCTCTTTACTTGGAAGGATCTGGAGATCAACTGTCAAATTTGCCTTTTTGTTTTTCTTTAAAACAGCTGTCACACTACCTTCTTTCTGCAGGGGAAATGCCCAGGTTGTGGAAAGAAGATTGGGAAATTTTCTGGAGAAGGGGAAGTCTGTAGCCGCTGTCGGAGGGGATCCACCGCTGCCCTCTTTTTGAGGAGTTGGCATTTTGGGCATGGTGGAAGGAGAGGCATGGTTCTGTGCCAACTGGAGAAAGGTGGGTGCAGAAGGAAAGTCTGCTGCTGTGCTGTTGGATGTCCCAGAAAGGATGGCTTGCCCTCTGTGGGCTGTGGTGAGAGGCAGAGGAGAAGGCACCAAAGAGGACGATGTGTGTTCTGCTACAAGGAGGAGCCCTTCAGAATTCTCTGGAGCCCCTGACAAATGCAGTGGGTTAGCGGTGTCATTTGCGGTAGCAAGGGCTATCTTTCTGCTGGTTGTTTCCACTGCCACTGATTCTGCAGTCTGTAAAAGTGAAGACACAGCCTCCTGGGTCACTGCTGCGGCCACCACACTCTTAGAAATCGGCAAAGACACCCCACCATGCACTCCTTCAGCCACCTCAGCTTCAACCGGCTGTGTGGATGTACGACTTGAAGCCATTTCCAACACTGACCATGAGGGAGTTCCATCTGGAAGCTGAAGAAGACTTCCAGGCACTAGGGGTGGAGGAGACAGATGGGACAGTTCTGCCACAGAGCTCAAAAACTCAGGTGTGGGGGAGCCTGCTGTGTGAGGACCCTCTGTGGGGGGCAGCTCAGGATGCCGCATTGTTGAGTATCCAAAAAGACCTAGATGAGGGATGCCTATCAAATCCTGGGCATTTTTGGACAGAGTGTGGTTCATTTCCCCAGCAAATGGGTGTGGGGAATTAGCTATGCTCTCACTTGAAAAGGAGCCAGTTGGAGCTGTTTGGGGAAACAAAGGGACTTTGGTGGGTCGTTCGGCTGGCTTGGAAAAGATGATGGAATGAGGTGAGTCAGGAGCCAATGAAGAGGATGGATGTGGAGGGAGAAACAAAAGAATGTCTGGTCTTGGGGAATGTTGTGGTGAAATGGAAGGAGTCCCTACCCTGACTGGCTGAGATGGGATAGTGGACAATGAGGGGAGCATGCTGGTGTGAGGCAAACCTGACACGGAGGCTGTGTCTTTTCCCCCTTGAGGTCTTGGTGGAACGAGAGACTCGGTGGAATCCTTGGAAGGCTCAAGGGAGGCGCTATGTCCACTTCCTTGGTAAAGGGAAGAAGAGAAGTCCCCGTGAGCCCTGGCTCTGCGGTGTGTCTTGGGCAGAGGCGTTCGGGCAAACTGCAGCACGCTAGTGTTGTCAGGGGAGGGTGCCAGCACATTCTTGATTCTGGCCACTGCCGAGGAAGACGGGACTTCTGAGAAAGGCCATGTTGGTGAAATCGGTAACAATTTCCCATGAGGAAATGACTCCGAGGTTGGGCTGACTGTTATCTGCAGATTGTCTGTTCCTGTCAAACAAAATACCACACAGTCAGGTATCAGATGATCATCTAGTGCCTGCTGTGGTAGGTCCTGGAGAGAAGGGGTGGGCAAGACAGGCACCACTGGGATCTCACAGAGCTTCCACCCCAGCACAGAAGACTCATTAAACATATTTAGACAATAAGGTTAAGTAATGACACATATGCAAATACTACAGCTAACCTACAGGGCTGGGCTGAGAGCCACAGTCTCTGATGAAATGATACCTAAGCAAAGATGCCAAAGACACCTGTGTATCTTAAATCTTTTTTTCTGTACCACCAATGAGGGCTGGACTGGGAAACTCACAATCTAGAAAATCAAAGATGAATGTAACTACCTGCCAAGGCCAATGACACCAAAATAAACCTCATCAGAGAACCCAAAAGGCAAAATGAAAGGACCGTGAATCTTGATGCAAATGTGTGTTCAGGACCCTAAGTCATCTCCAGCAGAATAACGAGGTTGCTTGTGTTTGGGAAGGATGGCAGCATGGCATCTTTCTTTCTGAAAGTAAAACTACTCACATTCACCCTAGAACTAGAGACACCTCACAAGACCCAGTGTCACTACAAGCACCTACAGAGAAAGCAGACTATTAGCACCCACATTTCCTGTGTGAACCTGCAGGCAGAAAGGCAAGGAGAGAGGGCACAAGATGGTGAGCTTCACAGGAAAGGAGGCAAGGACACAACTGATCAGAAAGCTGGAAATATCATGCTAGGGAAGAGAAACAACATCCTGCTTGATGATGCTCTGATCCCCTTTTCCATGGTTCTGCAGTACTGATGGTGCTGATGACCCCAGAAATGGCTAAGCACCCTTAAGTCATATTTTAAGTTAAAAATAAAAAAAGAAAGAACAGGTACTTCTAGAGCTTTCTCCATTATTGGCTAAAAAACGTTAGCCAGAACATTTGACAGAAACAAACGAGCCCAGGGGAGCTGAAGTTAGAAAATCTGGTTTGTAGTAGAGCGGGGTGAGGTGGGGAGGTGAGGGTGGATGATGTACAGGAGCAAATCTGTGTTTCAGAACAAGCATTCTGGCTACAGAATAAAGAATAGAACAGACTGGAAAGGGGTGGGAACAGATGACAACAGAGACCAGAAGAAAACTCCCCGAAGTAGTGTAGGCATGGGGTGACTGGACAGTTGTAAAAAGGAGTTGAGCCATAGTGGAAGACTGAAATAGATCATCCTCTATGATCCCTTTCAATTCTCATAGGTCAGGATAATGTAGTCCTTTAAATATGTTTGTGTTTGCATATGTGTTTTTTTAAAGCATTTACTCTTTTTATTTTTTAATATTTATTCTTGACAGAGAGATAGAGGATAAGTTGGGGAGGGGCAGAAAGGGAGGGAGACACAGAAACCAAAGCAGGTTCCAGGTTCTGAGCTGCCAGCACAGACCCCAACACAGGGCTTGAACCCACGAACTGTGAGATCATGACCTGAGCCAAAGTCAGACGCTTAACCGACTGAGCCACCCAGGTGCCCCTGTATATGTGTTTTTTTAATGGCTGCAAATTCTCCTATATGCCTCCCATTGAGAGGTGAGGTCTATGTCCCCACCTGAAGCTGAGTGGGCTTGAGACTGTTAAACCAAGGCAGAAGCATTGCCATATGACTTCCAAGGCTACCATCACAAAAGGCCAGGCAGCTTTCACTTGGCCTCTTGGAAGGCTTGCTCTCCATATGCTCCCTCACTCTCCCTCCTAGAACCAGTCACCACTCTGTGAACAGCCCAAAACCACATGGAAAGGCCATGTGTAAGTACTCCAGTCAATAGTCTTAGGTGAGCTAAGCTTCCCAGTCATCCCTGCCCAGGCACAAGACATGTGAATGAAGAAGCCTCCAGATAATTCTAGTCCCTAAACACTTGAGTCACCCTGTTTCAGTCTTCCCTGCTGAGTCCCCAGGAATCATGAACAGAGACAAGACATCCTCAGTTTGCTCTGTCTGGATTCCTGAAACCATGAGCATTACAAAATGGTTGTTATTTTACAACATGAAGCTAGGGGTGGTTTGCTGTGCAGCAATAGTAACTGAAACAATACAGGATTGTGTCCCTCATTCCTGGGAAGTGAATCTCTACAGCTTTAATTAGCTAAGGATTCAGAAGCCAAAACACAGTTAAGCACTCTTTATTTCAATGAAAGTTGCTTTTGCTTTATACACAAGATTTTAAAACTATGTCTATGCTAATAAATAAAATATGTCTGTATTAAGTAATGTTGTATCAGGAAGGAATGGAAAGGGAAAAGAAAATTTTGAGGGGCAAATGGAGGTAGATTTATTAAGAAGGGAAAAGTAAATTAGGAGAAGTAGGGCAAAACCAAATTTTAAAAAAGGCAGTGAAGTAGAAGTTTGATATAGGTTAGATATAAGAGTGTGTTGGACACACTCTACAGTATTCCCATGATCCCTGTCTCTTGGTGGTCACGCCTTTGTGTAACTCATCTTGAGTATGAGCAGAGCAGAGCCTGTGAGTTACTTCTAACCAATATAATATGGCAAAGGTGATGGGATACCCACCTGTGTTTATATAATCTAAGACTCGGTCTTGCTGGCAGACTTGCTGTCCTTGATGGCCTGATGAATTAAGAGGTCATACTGGGAAAACCCATGCGGCAAAGGATTGTGGGTAGCTTCTAGAACTGCAGGCAGTCTCCAGGAACTCTGAGCAGCATTTTGGAGCTGAGGATGGCCTCCCACTGATGGCCAGCAAGAAGCCAGGGCCTTCCAGATGGAAGCCACAAGGAAATTAATTCTGCCAGCAACCTGAGTGAACTTGGAAGTAGATCGTTCTGCAGTCAAGCCTCCAGATGAGAACACAGCCCCGCTGATACCACAATGGAGGCCTTATAAGACCTTGTGTAGAGGATCCAAAGAAGCTGTGCCCATGGGAAATGGGAAATAACAAATTCATGTTGTTTTGAGCCAGGAAGTTTGTGGTAATCTGTTACACAGAAATACTACCAAGTAGTATTACACAGTTACACAGAAAACTAACCGAGGTAGAGAGTAGGGGGCTGTGGAATGGGCATATAAGAAGAGATGCAGCATGAGGTACCATGACTAAAGAGTAGCAGAAAGGATGGTGAGAGGGTACCATCAAGACAGTAAAAAAGAAGCCCAAGTCAGTATGTCTGTTTGGAATTTCACAGAGAAGCTGTGAAATAAAAATTCAAACATAGTACCTGGGACTCAGAGGAAGTTATTTGAAGAGAATACTGGGCTTTGCAAGAGTAGAAACAAAGCCACACCAGCAAATAGCAGCAGACACAGTGGAATGTTGCTATGAAACAGGTTGGACTCTTCTGTTTAAATCCCATTTTTCAAGGAAAAAAAAAAAAAAGAAGGCACCTTCCAATCAAATTACTGAATTCTTTTTTTTCTCAATGAAATCCTACTAACTCTCCAATCCACCCCTCTCTGTATTCCAAAACTGTTAACTTTTTCTACTTAGAATGATATGAACTATTCTTTGCTGACAAATACAGTAATGATCTTCAAAAAAATGCACAAAAAGCAATCATATATCCCACATACAAGAGAGGGAGATGAAAGATAGTGGTGTTTCCCTGCACAAGCTCCCGAACAGCTATCCTTTGTGAATATCATAAGCATCACTCATTCTTCTTTTTTCATTTTTTAATGCTTATTTTTATTTTTGAGAGAGAGAAAGCATGAGTGGGGGAGGGGCAGAGAGAGAGGGAGACACAGAATCCAAAGCAGGCTCCAGGCTCTGTGCTGTCTGCACAGAGCCCGACATAGGGCTTGAACCCATGAACCGTGAGATCATGACCTGAGCCGAAGTCAGACATTCAACCGACTGAGCCATCCAGGTGCCCCCAAATATCACTCGTTCTAGGGACAAGCCAACAATTACCTTCTCTTTGGATAGTGTATCCCACCAAGGGACTAGTAACCTAAAGAAATTTAAAGGGAAGTAGCTTAAATGATAAGAGATTTAAGGAGGCTCTGGCTGAAGATAGATGGGGAACAGAGATGGATTTAAGTTGGAAATAAGTGAAAGCGAGCTAAAGACCCTCAAAATAATGAAAAGTTAAAATGAGTCATTTCTTCCCTTCCCAAGGAGACATGAACCCCATTCCATAGACAATTGATACACACATTTTAAACTAGGTTGGTTTGTGCCATGCTTAGATAAAAGCATGGTTTTCAAAGCTTCAGGAAAGCAAACAGTCATTCCTGTAAGAATATCAGACTGAATAATAATTGGCACAGGGGCACCTGGGTGGCTCAGCTGGTTAAGCGTCTGACTCTTAGTTTT